TTTCTGATCTTTTTCTATTATGATGTAAAATACCGCCCCCGATTTTTTAAAGTGGTATCTAATTTCTCTACTTACCGCTCCATGCTGTTTTTGAACTGCTTAGGTAAACAGTGAGCTGGGCTGACAGTCTGGTGCTCATGCCGACCCAGGGCTTTGAACTAGCAAACTTACGGTTGGTAGATCTTATCATTGCTGGTTATTTATCTTATCATTGCTGGTTTTAGCTGTGCTAAAACTCTGCTGTGCTTAAACCACTTCAACTGCTATGGCTCAATGTTGTGTTATCATGGGGGCTGTAGTTTGGTGGGGCACCAGGACTCTATAGGGCAGGGGTCCACAAACCTTTTCAACAGAGGGCCAGGTCACAGTCCCTCAAACGTTTGGAGGGCCAGATTATAATTTGAAAAAAAAAAGAATTCCTATGCACACTGCACATATCTTATTTGTAGTGCAAAAACACTTAAAAGCAATACTATAATTAAGATGAAAAACAATTTTAACAAATATAAACTTATTAGTATTCCAATGGTAAGTGTGGACCTGCTTTTGGCTGATGAGATAGGATTGCTGTTGTTGTTGTTGTTGTTGTTGTGTGCTTTCAAGTCATTTCAGAGTTTGGTTGACCCAGAGCGAGGGCCGGGTAAATGACCTTGGAGGGCCGCATCCGGCCCCCGGGCCTTAGTTTGAGGACCCCTGCTATAGGGGAAGGCTTGTACTTTTAGAAGATCTTTAAATATTGCTGTCAAATATTGCTGAATCTTGACTAAACTACAACTCTCATGTTTTGTCTTGCTCTACTCTGGGAAATTGGTCATATTCCCATAGGATTGATTCATATTTGTCCCATCTTTCCTCCACTGACTTCAACATAGAATACATTTCTCTTTCTTGCTTTGTATTCACAGCATTGCTGTGAGGTAGTCAGAGAGGCCAGTCTGAACTTGATCCACTCTTCTCACCAATAAACTGGCATTCCAGTTTTCAATCTGCAGTCCATTCCCCTTTTATATCAGTACAGGGATCTCATTGCTTCTAGAAACAAACCCTGAAATACTGTATATCCTATTTCTCTGCTCTCATTCCTTTCCTAAACAAACATGACTCATTTGGTCTCGCTTTTAAAAAAAAGCAGTTAAGCAGTTTGTCAGTGTGTTATCTGGGCTATCCATATTGAATTGCAGTTTCAGATTCTGATTTAGGGGAAAAGATCAGATTTTTTAAAGACTGTAGCATCAAACATCTCCCTGCAAAACTGCATATGTTAAGAAAAGTTGCGTAGAAAAATCCAAGACAAAAACAAACACAGATAAGAAATGGTTATCTTCATATAATTGACTTGTTGTTGTTGTTGTTGTTGTTTGCTTTCAAATGGTTTCTGACACATTGTGATCCTAAGGTGAACGTATCAAATGGTTTTGTAGGAGTGAAAGTGTGGGATTCACCCAAGGTCACCCAGTGGGTTTCATGGCGGAGTAGAAAGTTGAACCATAGTCTCCAAAGTTGTAGTTGGCACTCACACCACTAGTTCATCTCACCTTTCCTTCAGTGAATTCCAGGCATCATACATCATCCTGATTTTTCCTTTTCTAACATACAAAAATGATTTCTGGGTTGCTGTGAGTATTTCTGGCTATATGGCCATGTTCCAGAGGCATTCTCTCCTAATGTTTTGCCCACATCTGTGGCAGGCAACCTCAGAGGTTATGAGGTCTGTTGGAAACTAGACAAGTGAGGTTTATATATATCTGTGGAATAATGTTCAGGGTGGGAGAAAGAACTCTTGTCTGCTTGAGGCAAGTGCGAATGTTGCAATTGGCCACCTTGATTAGCATTGAAAAGTCTTGCAGTTTCAAAGCCTGGCTGGTTGCTGCCTGGGGGGATCCTTTTTTGGGAGGTGTCTGCTGGCCCTGATTGATTCTTGATAGGAAAAGAAATATGAATTTCTGTTTGTTCATAAGTTTAAATAATGTACCGCATTTTTCCGGGCATACAAGACGACTGGGCGTATAAGGCGACCCCCAACTTTTCAAGCTAAAATACAGAGATAGGGATATACTCGCCTTTTAAGACTACTCCTCTTCCAACACTATGCTGATCTTGTTACAAGAAATCCCAAGTGAAAACCTTGTCAATGTGGGGCAAGGTTGGGAAGAGGAGAAAGACGAAGAGAAGAGTCATCTATTCCAACCCACTTCCATGTATGAATATATAATTTCACCACTCTTAAAAGATGCCATCCAACTTTTGCTTAAATGTTACTGAATGAAGTATAGATGGGATGGGATGGATTTTATGACTTCAGAACTGACACACACTAGATACAGACTGATCTGTTTGTCCCTAGTTACTAGTAATTGACATACTGTTTGTAATGTGAACCATATGCTTAACCTCTTACTTTTCTATCTGTGATGAGCTGGAATGGGCTCCAGGCAAACAACCAGGAGGGATGCTTTCATCAGTTGGACTCCCCGCCATCAATTGAGGGCTTGTATGAATGACTAAAACAGAGACGTGGTTGTAGTTGTCCAGTGCAGCCCACATGCCATGCATACAGAAAATTTCAGGTTCAGTTCCTGGCATCTCCAGCTATAAATATCTCCAGGAGAAGGAGTAGGAAATGGTGCTGTCCCTCACATCTTTGAGAATTGCTGCCAGTTGAAATAGATAATTCTAGGCTTAATAGAATAATATTTTTATGGGGTTAGGCTAATCTATGACCAGCAAAAGGTGTTAAAAGGGAATTGGTAGAGATGGGAGTAAAGTACTACATTTTAGAACAGGCATGCTCAAACTTCGGCTCTCCAGGTGTTTTGGACTTCAACTTCTACAATTCCTAATTTATTTTATTATTTATTTAAAACTTTTCTATCCCGATCTCCTCAACCTCCGTAGAAGGACTCAGACTGGCTTACAGCAAGGATTCAATGCTAACAGTACAATCTAAAAACATCATATAATAAAGAGTTAAAATACATATTGATTAAAATTACAAATAACCCAATTCGCCAAGATAAAATCATGTCCAACTCAGTCCGTATGTGTGGTCGATAACTTTGTTCTGTAGTCAGTTTCAGCCATTACTCTGGGAATGCTTCCTTCCATAGCCAGGATTTCACCAGCCTCCTGAAGGACAGGAGGAAGGGGGCAGATCTGATCTCAATCGGGAGAGAGTTCCATAGGCGAGGGGCCACCACAGAAAAGGCCCTGTCTCTCGTTCCCACCAGACGTGATTGCGAAAGTGGCAGGACCAAGAGCAGGGCCCCACCAGAAGATCTTAATTATCTTGGTGGTTCATAGGGAAGAATACATTCAGACAGGTAAACCGGGACCGTATAAGGTTTTGTAGATTAAAACCACCACTTTGAATTGTGCTCGGATGCTAACTGGCAGCCAGTGGAGCTGGCGCAACAAAGGAGTTGTGCACTCCCTGTACTCCGCTCCCGTTAGTAATCTGGCTGCCGAACGTTGGACTAATTGCAGCTTCCGGGCAGTCTTCAGAGGCAACCCCACGTAGAGAGCGTTGCAGAAATTTGGGATGTAGAAAATCTCTCCAACTTTGGAAAAGTTCCCTAATGCCATATTGTGGGCAAGAATTCCAGATCATACTTCAGGACGGTATTCGACAATGATGTAAACAAAGGATTAGAAGTTAGTTTATAAGTTATATTGAGTCTATGTTATTTTATGTTTTGCTTTGATTGTTTATTTGTTTTTCGGCATTGCCATTTTGTTTTGTTTTTTGTAAACCACCCTGAGTCCCTTTGGGTATAAATAAAGTATTATTATTATTATAAACACAACAGGATTAGTACACAGCAAACAAGATCACTATGCTGGCTGATGTATTGGATCACACATGAGACACTTCCCAAGTGTCTAGGACTTTGTGATGTATCAGCAAATAATGCACGCAGATCTGAGTAGGGTGGCTTTTTGCAACTGACAGATGGTAATTTTGTCAGCACCAAATGTATATAAATGCAGGCCAAGGTCTTTAGGCCTGCACCCAGTGTGCCAATCACCACTGGGACCACCTTTACTGGCTGGTGCCACTATTGTTATTGTATTATTATTATTATTATTATTATTATTATTATTATTATTATTTTATTTTATTTTAAGGTAGTTCTGACCTGAATTTTCATCAACTTGTGAACAAGACTCAATCTCAAAAAAAAAAAAAAATCTGCAAAAGAAAATATGCATTTTCTTCGGCATTTCTTTCAATCCCTCCATTTCATAGACACCTTTTCTTAGTTTTGAAACTGTTGTTCATTTCGTAGAAAGGCATATCAAAGCTTTGTGCATTTTTTGGAATTTTATTGGGCTGACAAAAAAGCAAGTTATAAATAAATACATACATAAATTACCACTAATAAAAGTAATCATGCCAAAAGTCTATATAGAGAGAATGTATGCTTTCAATTCTGAAAAGTTTGTTTGTATGTTTGACAGTGTTGAATATGGTAGATTTGTATGAACATTCAGACCTGAGAAATCTCTCCAATATCCATCCCTAGCAGTATCTTCTATAAACTTACAGTACTTGAAACTGTCTGGAATATATGTGGGTTAATAGTACTGCCCCCCCCCCCCCAGTGGCACAGCAGGTTAAACCACTGAGCTGCTGAACTTGCTGACCGAAAGGTTGGCAGTTCGAATCCAGGGAGCGGGGTGAGCTCCCGCTGTTAGGCCCAGCTTCTGTGAACCTAGCAGTTTGAAAACATGCAAATGTGAGTAGATCAATAGGTACTGCCTTGGTGGGAAGGTAACAGTGCTCCATGTAGTCATGCTGGCCACATGACCTTGGAGGTGTCTATGGACAATGCCAGCTCTTCGGCTTAGAAATGGAGATGAGCATCACCACCCAAAGTCGGACACGACTAGACTTAATGTCAGAGGAAACCTTTGCCTTTACTTTACTTAGTACTGGTATGTTCTTTTTTGTTCAGTATCTGTTAATATCCTGATTTTGCTTTTCTCTTTTTCAAACACAGGCTGAATATAATTCTGGCTGGGATGAATCCCTTTTATTTCCACGCCGTGAATGTAGTCCTGCACTGCCTGGTGACACTTATGCTGATGTATACTTGTGACAAAGCCGTTTTCAAGGACAGCCGCCTGGCTTTTGTCACAGCTCTCTTCTTTGCTGTCCATCCTATTCACACAGAAGCCGTAAGTACATATGAAACCTGATAAATTTCAACATTTTTCTTTTCAAATGCAGGAAAAAAAACCCCAAACCTCTCTGCTTGGTAATTGAAAATTTACCCTTTTGCTAGGCTATCCATTTAGCAGTGACCAGCTAAATGGCAACTTCGTAATATCCCTCTGTAATAATGGGTTCAAAGGATCTGTAGGAAAAGTGCAGCTGTGTTTAGAGAAAATAATTGGTGTGGCAACGGGGAAGCAAAGAGTAAACTTATAACTTTCTTTCCACAGTTAGACTCAAATGCGAGTCGGTTGTATAAAAGTAAATCCCACTGAGTTCAATGGAACTTTCTTCCAAGTATGTTTACTTTTGTGCTGTGTGTCCTATTCTGTTTAAGTGCCTTAAGCAGCATTGTTGGGAATGCAGTAAATGCCAAGTGTTTTCACGGAAAAGTAATGAGATGCTTGGATGTCACACAATATTAAAGCCACCCCCAAAACTCTCCTGCTGACACATTGTTTGGCCCTCCTTTCTTTTCCTTGCATTCTTCCCCTGTCTCTCCCCCAAACAGAGCACAAAAAAGAAAACCAACATTTAATAAAGTCCCTGAGTGATATTCTGTCTTGAGAGAATAATAAATATTTTAACATGCCATAGATTGGATGGCGTACATGGTTACAAATTAGAAGTGCTGAAAACATTGGAAGGTTAGTCACAGTGCTTTCTTTAAAACTGAAAACACATTAGTATATAAACACATTTCACATTTATATACATGGTCTTTATGGGTTGCAATGACATAGGAATTCATCTGGGAGCGGACCTTCAAATTAATGGGATTTTCTTTTCATAGAATCATAGAATCATAGAATTAAAGAGTTGGAAGAGACCTCATGGGCCATCCAGTCCAACCCCCTGCCAAGAAGCAGGAATATTGTTTTCAAATCACCCCTGACAGATGGCCATCCAGCCTCTGTTTAAAAGCTTCCAAAGAAGGAGCCTCCACCACGCTCCGGGGCAGAGAGTTCCACTGCTGAACGGCTCTCACAGTCAGGAAGTTCTTCCTCATGTTCAGATGGAATCTCCTCTCTTGTAGTTTGAAGCCATTGTTCCTCATCCTAGTCTCCAAGGAAGCAGAAAACAAGCTTGCTCCCTCCTCCCTGTGGCTTCCTCTCACATATTTATACATGGCTATCATATCTCCTCTCAGCCTTCTCTTCTTCAGGCTAAATATACATAGTATCCTGGGATTTTTTTGTGTGACTTGAGAAACTGCAAGCCCGAAAAAACCTACAACAACCCAACTGCAAATCGCTTCTGGTGTGAGAGAATTGGCCGTCTGCAAGGATGCCCATAGGATGCCCGGATGTTTTGATGTTTTACCATCCTTTTAGGAGGCTTCTCTCATGTCCCCGCATGGGAAGCTGGAGCTAACAGTGGGAGCTCAACCCGCTCTCCTAGAATTTGAACTGTTGACCTTTCAGTCATCAGTCCTGCCAGCACAAGGGTTTAACACATTGTGCCACCGGGGGTTCCTAGTATCCTAGTATAAAGAGATTACGGTTTTCAGAGACATTGCATAGTTAATGGTTAGAGAATGTTGGACTGGGATTGAGTCTTGAAAGATCTTGTTTCCCACTGAGCTAAGTTTTTTCCATGTGCAGGATTTCCTCCATGAGTGTATGTGGGTGGGGAAATTCCAACAAAACTCTATACTGTTTTAAGAGTAGGTACTAATATTTTAGAAGCTTGAAACCCTTGGGATTGTTCTTTTTTGAGGCATAATCCTTTTGGAAGATCTCCTTTCAAGTTTTATCAAAAGGAAAAATGATGGTGGATTTGTGCGGCGCCTGCTAATTTCTTTGGGGTTTGCCCTCGAGAATGCTGTTCTTATCAAGGCAGATTTTTACAGACTTTTGGGGGATGGAGGAAGCAGGGTGGGAACTCTTAGGACATCCATATGTTTTAGATTACAGCTCTGCAGTGTTTTGCCTTTGGCTATAGCTGGTTGGGATTTCTGGGAGTGAATCCAGCACGTCTGGAAGGCTGAAGGTTCTTTACCCTGGTTTTAGAGCAGTGTTTCCCAACTTGGGGATCATGACCCTCTGGGGGGGTCACGAGGGTGTGTCAGAGGGGTCGTGGAGGACCATCAGAAAACACAGTATTTTCTGCTGGTCATGGGGGTTCTGTGTGGGAAGTTTGGCTCAATTCTATTGTTGGTGAGGTTCAGAATGCTTTTTGATTGTAGGTGAACTGTGAATCCCAGTGACTACAAGTCCCAAATGTCAAGGTCTATTTTCCCCAAACTCCATCTGTGTTCATATTTGGGCACATTGAGTGGCTGTGCCAAGTTTGGTCCAAATCCATCATTGTTTGACTATCAAAAAACATATTTGACAGAGAAGCCTGAAAATCTCTCTGCCTATCCTTCTCTTCCTTTTTTGGAAACAGACGACAAATCCTCCCACCAAATCCCCTCCTCCGCTGTGACTGGATTGTCTCTCATCCAGCCTCTCAGCCAAGGGGAGAGCTGTTTCTGAGACTCCAAGTGGAGGACAGGAGAGCAGGTGTGCTCAGTGCATGGCAGTGTGGTGCGCATGTATGGGTGAGGGAGAATGTGTAAGGCTTGAGGGAGGCTTACACCAACGAGACCCTTCAAGGCATGGGGGTTCTGTGTGGGAAGTCTGGCCCAAATCTATCACTGGTGGGGTTCAGAATGCTCTTTCATTTTAGGTGAACTATAAATCCCAGTAACTACAACTCCCAAATGTCAAGTCTATTTTCGCCAAACTCCACCAGGGTTCACATTTGGGCATATTGAGTATTTGTGCCAAGTTTGGTCCAGATCCATCATTGAGTCCACAGTGCTCCCTGGATGTAGGTGAACTACAACTCCAATACTCAAGGTCAATGCCCGCCAAACCCTTTGAGTATTTACATGGGAGTTCTGTGTGCCAAGTTTGGTTCAATTCCATCATTGGTGGAGTTCAGAATGTTTGTTGGTTGTTGGTTAACTATAAATCCCAGCAATTACAACTCACAAATGTCAAAATCAATTACTCCCCAACCCTACCAGTATTCAAATTTGTGTGTATTGGGTATTTGTGCCAAATTTGGTCCAGTGAATGAGAATACATCCTGCATATCAGATATTTACATTACAATTCATAACAGTAGCAAAATTACAGTTATGAAGTAGCAATGAAAATAATTTTATGGTTGGAAGTCACCACAACATTAGGTACTGTATTGAGGGGTTGTGGCTGAGGGGGAAAAGTAATGGGTCAGTCTGTTAGGAATTGTGGGAAATGAAGTTCAAAACACCTGGAGGGCTCAAGTTTGCCCATGCCTGGTGTAGACTCTTCTTTGCAGAAATTTTATTCACATGAACAAAGCTGTGTAATGCTGTTCAGGGGTGTGTGCAATTTGCATGATTATTTTAGACATTCTTACTATTTGTATTACTATAGTATTTTTTAAATATATACCCTGCCTTTTCCCGAGCCCTAGAAAAGGCAGCTTGCACATTTTCAAACAGTTTCTTGATTACTCCACAAGTTCCATTGCTACTACTAACTACATCATTCCCACTGAATCAATAGGAAGTCAACATTTATATAAGTTCCATTGATTCAGTGGATTCAGTTAGATTTAGGCTTCAGGCTGTGTCCACACAACATAGGTAGTATGTCAACATGAATTCACCCATCCATTCATTTTTTAGACATTTTATCTACTTTTTCTACATATGGTGCTCAAGGTGATCACTAAAACACAATTAAGTGAGCCATTAGTATCTACTAGGGTTTGGTTCCAGGAGCCCCCAAGGATGCCAAAATCTGTGAATGCTCAAGTCCATTATATAAAATGACATAGTGGAATTTTGTCCCTTATATATAAACGCAGACAACAAATGCTAGAGAGAGCTTAAGGATCGGTGAAGTAGCGGAACGCTGCAGTAGAGTATGCCTACACTTCATTGTATTGCTCTTTGTGCATAGCAAAACTAAGCTTTCCTTTTTGGGATAACAATATTTCAAACTGTGGTTGGTTCATTCCTTGAATGTAGAACTCGTGAATACAGAGAGCCATCTCTACAAAATTGGGATGAGCCAAAGAACATATTGTTGAAGACCTCCTGTGCAGGTTTCCAGTTAGATCAGCCAAGCATATCCTCTATAGCAGAGGTTCTTAACCTGTGGGCCGCAGACCACCAGTGAGCCGCAAGGACGAAAATCCGGTCTGCTAGCCTCCTTCCTTTTTATTTTATTTTATTTTATTTTATTTCCTCTCCTTTTGTGCTGCTTGCCACTCCTTTCTTGTTGCTGACCATGGCATATGTTCTGTATCGGAAACTAGAGCTGATGTGGTCTATCCAATGCAATTTTCTGAATCAGCACCCCAAACCGAATCTAAAGTTGACCAAAAACTAATTCGTAACCTTTTTGGTACTGATGTCCTCTCCTTTCGTGTCGCCTGCCACTCCTTCCCTGTTGCTGACCATGACATATGTTCTGTATCGGAAACTAGAGATGATGTGGTCTATCCAATGCAAGTTTCTGAATCAACACCCCAAACCGAATCTAAAGTTGACCAAAAACTGATTTGTAACCCCTTTGGTACTGATGTCCTCTCCTTTCATGCCACCTGCCACTCCTTCCCTGTCGCTGACCATGACATATGCTCTGTATCAGAAACTAGAACTGATGTGGTCTATCCAATGCAAGTTTCTGTATCAGCACCCCAAACCAAATCTAAAGTTGACTAAAAACTGAATCGTAACCCTATTAGTACTGATGTCCTCTCCTTTCGTACCACCTGCCACTCCTTCCCTCTCGCTGACCATGGCATATGTTCTGTATCAGAAACTACAGCTGATGTGGTCTATCCAATGTAATTTTCTGAATCAGCACCTCAAACCGAATCTAAAGTTGACCAAAAACTGATTCGTAACCCTTTTGGTACTGATATTGGAAAGTCGTCCTTGGTCAAGTGGTCAATGGTCAAGTGGTCCCTGATCAAAAAAAGTTGGGAACCATTGTTCTATAGGAATAGTCTTCTCCAGGAAGTTCGATGTCATGCAGTAGATGAATAATGAACTTGTGATAATCATGAATTCCCATCACCTCTAGCTGTCATAGCCAATAGTAAAGGAATATGAGAATCGCTGTACAACGGCATTGGGAAGGTTGGAATACCAGATATACAGGATTTCACCCAACATCCTAAGAAGAACTTGGGACAGATGAATCTAACTTGGTTTTGAGTAGTTCTTGAAACAGTTAGTCCTACCCCTCTCTGACTTGTCACAACTCAGAACTTGAAAAAGTTACTTTTTGGGCTGCAACTCTCAGAATCCTCCAGCCAATATGATCCATGCCAATGATGACTGGAAGATTCTGGGTAGGGTTAAAGCAGGCATGGGCCAACTTTGGCCCTCCAGGTGTTTGGGACTTCAACTCCCACCATTCCTAACAGCCTCAGGCCCTTTCCTTTTCCCCCTCAGCCGCTTAAGCGGCTGAGGGGGAAAAGGAAAGGGCCTGAGGCTGTTAGGAATGGTGGGAGTTGAAGTCCAAAACATCTGGAGGGCCAAAGTTGGCCCATGTCTGGGTTAAAGGATGCCTTTCTCAAGAAATCTCTCTTCCCCACACCTTAGTTTTCCAGCCTACAGACCTTTAGTTGGTTTAAAATTGTCTCAGAAATTTCTGCGTAATTCAGAAGGATGGGTTGCAAGGGGCGACATCACTTCTGAAATATCGCAAGTGACAATTTGATCTTTCTGGCTTCCCGCATCTAAATCAGTGCTGCGTGGGAGATGGGCTTTTGAATGCTCTGAGAGTAAAAGTGTCTTGTTGAGATCCTCTCAAGAAAGATTATTTCTTCAATAACAAAGACGGCTTGAGCCGTGTCGATGCCTCCCAGGTTCTTTCCGGCCTTAATCAGCTAGTCTTTAAATAATGCATCCTTTTTTTTTTGTCGGAGGCGGAGAGATAATTAAAGTGGGAAAGGAAGGGTGCATTGCGTGAAGAATGCAAACATGACTTGAATTTTATTTTTGGTGAAGGTAAGAATTAACAAAGACTAGAATTATGAAGATTAATTAACTCTCTTATAAACCAGGTTTCAGGAGTGCTATTTTTTAAAAAAACTTTTTGATATTTAAGGGGAGATAAAATGTTGAAATAACATGAATAAATTATTAAGAAACTTGCTAGCTTTAAAGACTGAGGGCACTCTCTGTCTGTTCTCTGGTGGCATTTAAAATTTATGTATGAACTAGGAATTGCCTAACCTTTTGCTAGTGAAATTCGTCATTTTTAGGAGTTACTGTCCTATCCTATAGGGAGGAGTTTCCTTCAAGACCTTTCCCCCTTGTAATTATTTGTTGTTTTTAGAGAGTATTGTTTTAGTATCATGGAATACAGAAGTTATAAATATCCAGTGGTTTGTTTGTAGGCCTGAAAACCTAAACTAAGAAGGAATGTGCTATATCGGTGGTTCCCAACCTATGGTCTGTGGACGACCAGTGGTCTGCAAGAACTACAATATTGTCTATGGCCTCACCATTACAACACTGTTACTACATCGTTGCAACAACGGCAACTGGTCTAGCAAAACTCTCTTATATTGCTGAAGCTTATTCAATATGGTTGTCTGTGGGCAAGCAGATGGTGACTACTGGATGGCATTTGTTCAGAATGGGGGATGCCTGGCTCAACAGCAGTACGTGCTGTTGTCCTTGTGGACAACAAGTTTATTTATTTCATATCAAAAGCATTGCATAAATTAGTATAAAACTGATAAAAATAGAAGGAGCGCAAGCAGCTAAATATCTTTTGACCAAAAACGGGCAACAGCAATGGCATTGTCTGTAGCCTCCAACAATTCTTCCTCTATACATGAGGCAGGGCATAGTGGACGAGCATACAGATGCGGAGTTGTTTGTTCTGCTCCACACTCACACAAGGTGTGGGATTCTTTTAGGTCGTGCCATTTTGCCAGGTTGTCTTTTGATCTGTGCACTCTGTTTCTGAGTCTGTTCAGGGACTTCCAAGTTGCCCATTCTTGGTTTGCCCCTGAAGGAAGACCCTTGCAGGGGCCACCCAGTTGGACAACAAGTTAAACAAGAGCCAACAATGTCATGTGATGGCAAAGAAGTCAATGGGATTTTGGCCTGCATAAATAGGAGTCTAGAGTCTAGGTCCAGGGAAGTCATGCTACCCCTCTATTCTGCCTTGGTCAGACCACACCTGGAATCACACTGTGTCCAACTCTGGGCATCACAATTGAAGGGAGATCTTGACAAGCTAGAACATGTCCAGAGAAGGGCGACTAAAATAATCAAGGGTCTGGAAAACAAGCCCTGTGAGGAGCAGCTTAAAGAGCGGGGTGTGTTTAGCCTGGAGAAGAGAAGGCTGAGAGGATACATGATGAGGGCCATGTATAAATATGTGAGGATAAGTCATGGGGAGGAGGGAGCAGGCTTGTTTTCCGATGCCCTGGAAACTAGGACATGAAACAGTGGCTTCAAACTACAGGCAAGGAGATTCCACCTGAACATAAAGAAGAACTTCCCGACTGTGAGAACAGTTCAGCAGTAGAACCCTCTGCCCCAGGGTGTGGTGGAGGCTCCTTCTTAGGAGGCTTTTAAACAGAGGCTGGATCTGTTGGGGGTGCTTTGAATGAGATTCTCCTGCTTCTTGGCAGGGGGTTGGACTGGATGGCCCACGAGGTCTCTTCCAACTCTTTGATTCTGTGTCAAAAACTAGAGTAGATGTGGTATATCTAATGCAATTTTTTGAATCAGAACCCCAAATAACTAAACCAAATCTAAAGTTGACCAAAAACTGATTGTTACCCCTTTGCTACTAATGTTGGAAAGTGGTCCCTGGTCAAAAAAAGGTTGGCAACCACTGTGCTATATGGATAATCTTATACATAAAGAAATGTCTTTATGAAGTGTCATAGACATAACATCATTTTCCCCTCTCACAGTGACTTTATGGATGAATTTCTCTAGAAAGATATCCTGGGTTTTTAAAAACACAACGCCCTCCCCCCAAAAGATATGGGCTGCAGTTTTCCCATTCCTATATTAAAATTAAAATTACAGCATATTCATTTCCTTCTAAATGTAGACAAAGACTTTCTCTGCACCCAAAATAAGAAATAATAGGAAGAACATTACTTGATGCTCATGGATGGAAAGGAAGTTAAACAAAGGTTTAAAATATTTTTTCTTATATAATTATTATTGCATTGCATTGCATTGCATTGATTAATTAATTGATAATCCTCCCTTTCATTGAAGCTTTGACTCAGATTTCCCGACTCTAGTTGAATTAATTAATTAATTTCCTACCTTATTTATTTAATTAATTAATACGCTTGATTAATACCCTGCGTTTCTCTCAGAACAGGGCTCAATTGTAACACTTGTTTCTTTTCTCCTTCCTTTCTTAGGTAACGGGTATAGTAGGCAGAGCGGACGTATTGGCCTGCCTCCTATTTCTTTTGGCTTTTCTCTCCTATAATAGGTATGGGTCTTTCCTCTCTTTACGATTATGATTTGTAGTTTTCAAATAAACAGAATTAACGCTTGGCAGACTTTGTATTTTTTCCCCTACAGTCCACGTTTCTTCTTTTCAATCCTCTTTCTTTTTTCTCCTCCTCCCTCTTTTGTGATGGATAGGAAACAGGAGATAAAACCAATTGTGCAGCTGATTATACTGCGGCACATCTAGTTACATCTGCAAAGTTTTGCGTTAGCACTTGTTTCTGATGGTCTGCAGCATTGTAGATCCTGATAGTTTTAATGACTTGCCTCTTAGGATCTAATACTAAAGAAGCGAAAGGGCAAGAAGACCCACCTTCATGTGTGGATAATTCAGAGATGGCAGAAGGGCAGGGAGATGTATACTCAATTCTTCCCGATCTATTCAAATTAATTGCTCCAGTTGTTTCCTCCCTTCCTTATTGCAGAGTCTGAAATTAGTATTTATAAGAATAAATATATTTGCAATCTCATGAAGGTGGATGTGGAGGAACAGGGAATGTGAATGGAGAACAGCTGGAAAGGAACAGAGAAGTGGCAGATGAAGGAAAAGTTGACCCTTCCTGCTACTCCATTTTATTTTTGCACCCACTTTCCTAATCCCAGCAGCATTCTCTTTTTGAAACTGCTAGGGTTTATTGTCTACATTTGCAAAGTGTAGAAATTGTAGTTAGTATCTGAAGTGTCACATGCTTAAGGCAGCCATCTTCAACTAGGGTTGTCCACCATGCTGACTCGTGTCTGACATATTTAGAGGGTAGCAACTTAGGAAAGACTGGTTTCATTGAATTGTCAAAGGCCTTCATGGCCAGAGTCACTGAGTTGTTGTGAGTTTTCTGGGCTGTGTGGCCATTTCCAGAAGCATTCTCTACTGATGTTTCACCTGCATCTATGGCAGGCATCCTCAGAGGTTGTGAAGTCTGTTGGAAACTAGGAAATGGGGTTTATATGTCTGTGGAAAGTCCAGGATTGGAGAAAGACCTCTTGTCTGTTTTAGGTAGGTGTGAATGTTGTAGTTGACCACCTTGATTGGAATTTAATGGTCTAGAGGTTTCAAGGTCTGGCTTCTTACTGCCTGGGGGAGGTGATTAACTGGCCCTGATTTTTCTTCTCTGGAATTCCCCTGTTTTTTTTAATGTTGTTCTTTATTTACTGTCCAGATTTTAGAATTTTTAAAAATGCAAACAAGAGTTCTTTTTCCCATCCTGGACATTCCACAGATATATAAACCCGATTTTCCTAGTTTCCAACAGACTTCACAACTCTGAGGATGCCTGCCATAGATGCAGGAAACGTCAAGAGAGAAGGCTTCTGGAACATGGCCATGCAGCCTGGAAAACTCATAACAACCCAATGGTTTCATTGATTTTGGAAAGCCCTTTGAATTGCTGGAATGCCTGGTGATGGTTGTAATCTCGTACCAACAGGGACAAAGTTTACAACTAAACAGTTGATGTAGTTATAATAATGTCATTATATTATGTATTTATATTTATGTTTTCTTATATCTTGCCCTTTCCCCAGTGCCAGGCTTACAAAAAATTAAAATGCTTAGCCTGAAATGTACATCATAGAAAAGTTAAATAATATATTGAAACTCTCCACATAGTTAAAAGCAGTTAAAGCATGAACTTTAAGAAGAAAAACATGCCAAAATAAATAAATAAGTAAATAAATAAAAATAATAAATCTTTGCCCAGCTTTGAAAGAATAACAAAGAGGGTGCCACTCAAGTCTCTATACGATGGAAGTTCACAACCAGGAATAGTCCCCCAAAAGCCCCCTTTGAATTCTATGCTCTCTGTAGCCAATCCCAGTTAACAATCTGGCTACTGATGTTTGGACCAGTTGAAGTTTCCAAACAATCTTCTAAGACAGTGGTTCTCAACCTGTGGGCCCCCACGTGTTTTGGCCTACAACTCCCAGAAATCCCAGCCAGTTTACCAGCTGTTAGAATTTCTGGGAGTTGAAGGCCAAAACATCTGGATACCCACAGGTTGAGAACCATTGTTCTAAGACATCCCCACTTAGAGCTCAGTAATCCAATCTTGAATTACATGACCTGACTGAGACTATTTGAGTCTCCTTTTGGATTCACTAAACAATGGCATATTCATCAGGCAGAAGCTGCTGGATTGTCAAGGTCACCAGGTGACTTTTCTTCTTTTCCTGTCGCATGCTGCATTGTCAGCAAAGAGCCACCGACAATGCTAATTGAGAGACACTGTTGCTTCTTCCAGAAGGTATTTGGGCTCTGCTGTTTTCTTCCAAAATATCACCAAGGGAATACTTCAGCTCAGCCGGAGTGCTTCCCATCCTCCTTCTCCAAACCTCTCCCCTAAAACCCACTCCCTTCCCCTTATTAGCATTTTGATATTTCCTTATTTTTCATTTCCTCCTGCAGCCCTGCTTCAAGAGGGTGCAAAGCTTATCTTTTTTGCACGGCATACATTTTGGACCACAACATCCTAATAAGCATGGAATGTGAGATTCAGAGTGTTGTAGACCAAACAAAGGCAACACTTCTAAATTTCCAGAAAACACAATTCTCCATATTGCCCCTGCTTTTGTTTCCTTGTTATCTCTTTTGATTCTCAACTTCTAACTGTTGCTTTTATTACTTGAGGGAAAGCCATATCCTGTAATAGTATACTATTAATAACGATTCTTTCGTTCCTGATGCTTCCTTATTTTCCCTGATGCTTCATTTCTTCCTACTTTCATAATCACTTCTTTCTCCAGCTCATTTTCCTCTTTCTTATTACGCTATTTATTTAACAGAAGCAGTTTTTTAGTCTGCTGATGCAGGCGGTCTTGTTTGTTTGGTGTGCTGCAAATGGGTAGAGAGGGCTGTAACTTAAGGGGATGAAATCTGCTCAATAGACAAATGCGTTTAGTTTTAAATTCTCATCCCTCGCTTTTTGTTTCTCTCTTACAGGAGCGTGGATCAGCTTTATGTTGGGGAACATTTCCCTCCCACTGCCTCTCCCCCCTTTTTGCTGCTTAGTTTGTTTCTTGGGACCTGTGCAATGCTGGTAAAGGAAACGGGGATCACCGTGTTTGGAGTCTGCTTGGTGTATGATGGATTCCTGCTTTCTCAAAACAGAGCCAGATTGTAAGTGAAGCATTGTTTTGAAGTTCCAGTCTTCTGGTTATTTCCACTGTGCATATAATTTCAGAAGGTTTGCTTGTTCATGAACCTGTCCACATAGCCATATCAGAGCTTTTAAAAAGTTGTTCTACATTTTCCTTGAATTTCCCAGATTTTGAAGGATTTTGCAACTTGTAGCCCAAAAATTCATATTTCTAAGGCCAATTTTACTAATCCAGGGCAAGAGCAAAATAACACTTTATAAACATAAATGCTTTCCATAAATGAACAAGTGTGGGTTGTTTCAAACCCTGAGCTTTTATCTCTGAAGCTTCAGATTGGTTTAACCCTTTGTATTTTTTTTCTAAAAGAGGATAGTCAAAAGGTATCTACTGAAGGCAACAGAATCTGTTGGTAGATCCCTAAGCGATTAGCAAGGATTTCTGATTTGTCATTGTTGTACAATAACAAATCCCCCCCAGCTGATTATAATATTAAAATAAGTAAAGGAGCATTTAATCAAATGTCAATTTTGGGATGAAAAACTGTGATCTATATTAATGTCTGGTTCTTAATAAAATTGCAGATATCTGTTAGTATATATCCTGTTTCTCCAGAAATAGGACATACCCATAAATCAAGCCGTAGCAGGATTTCTAAGCATTTGTGCAATATAAGCCATACCCTCAAAATATGACATAGGTGTGGCTATGCCGCGTATAAGGTCGGCTCCCCCATGCAAGCGTGCTGCAAGCTGAGGCATAGAAGGAGAAATAGAAAGTAAAAATAAAAGTCTCCTCAGTGAAGTGAGGAGTAGGACGCTTTGCTTTAGGTATTGTGTGTCCTCAGAAGGAAGAAGTAAAGCTGTGGCAGCCGTTTTACTCAGCACTGTGGGTCTCTCTCCCCCAGCACCAACCAGCAACAGTCTGTGGGTCTCTTTCACACCCCCCCCCAAACAAACACCAGTAAAGCTGCTACTCCCCAGCACTGACCAGCAACAGTCTGTGGGTCTCTCTCACCCCACACAAACACCAGGGGATAGGGGAAAAGCTTCAGCAAGCAATCTGCTACTGAGCCCAGAGAGATCATCCCATAAATGCAGATTGTTGTGCCATCTATATAAATAAAAAATGTAATGTTCATTTGTAAGATTATCAGAACTCAAAAACCACTGGGCGAATTGACACCAAATTTGGACACAAGACACCTAACAACCCAATGTATGTCCTTCACTCAAAAAAATTGGGAGTTGTAGTTGCTGGGATTTATAGTTCACTTACAATCAAAGAGCATTCGGAACCCCACCAACGATAGAATTGAGCCAAACTTGGCACACAGTTCTCCCATGACCAACAGAAAATACTGGAAGGGTTTGGAGAGGAGTGTCCTTTGGTTTTGGAGTTGTAGTTCACCTCCATCCAGAGATCACTGTGGACTCAAAACAATGATGGATCTGGACCAAACTCTACACAAATACTCAATATGCTCAAATGTGAACACTGGTGGAGTTTGGGGAAAACAGAATCTTGAAATTTGGAAGTTGTAGTTGCTGGCATGTGTAGTTCACCTACAAACACAGAGCATTCTGAACCCCACCAACGATAGAATTGGGCCAAACCTCCCACACAGAACCCCCATGTGGGCCACAGCAATGCATGACAGGGACGGCTAGTACTTAATAAAAATAAGACATCCCCTGAAAATAAACCATGAGGAAAAATAAATATTTGACAGTGTCATGTTTTTCGGGAAACATGGTACATTGTCGATTTCCCTCTTCTAAACCAAAGTTCTGTCATGGATACCACTCCTTGTTGTTATCACAGACTCTTGGCTTAACCTATCTTAATTGTTGTAGGGATAAAAATCACTGATGGGGGTCTGACCACATCCAATATCCCAAGCAACTCAGAAGAAGAATACAATAAAAATATAGTATGGCTTTTAAGATGGTGCTCACAGTGTTTCCCCCAGAAATGTTAAGACCTGGTTGTCTAATAGTAGCATGTGTCTGGGATTGTTTAATGAAATCCTTTTTTCTCAGTTACTTTCTTCTCCACATAGACAGATGCTAACTATCGTGTTTTATTGTTTCAATAACATTATATCGCTGCCACATCTGGACAAGAGAGCTTCCAGAAATCAGGTTGCGTGGCCCAGATGCGATACATCTTTATGTCCATAATAAATTGTTATCGAGCATGAGTGTTGTGGTTTATGGAGCTTGGTATTTTATGTGTCTACAGCTACTTCTTTGGGGTGAGGTGTTGTTCAGATAGATTTCTATATAGAAATAAAACAGCTTGGTTACACTGATAATAGAAGTTGTGATCAATAGCAAAATGCATCAACCACTGCAATGCAAATAAGAGGAAAGATGCACGCTGTAATATCCAAGGCAAAATGAGCTGCAGTAAAATGAAGGAAGCAAAATGTGTAAGCTAACTGTAACACCCCTTGAAATAGCCTTGCTTGACTTGAGTGAACTTTCCTCCAGTTTGCTGCCACAAAACATACACTTCAAGAGCACACATACATGGGACACAGTCTTAAGTAAGAGGGGGTCACTAGTGTGCCATCATTATTTCATGACCTTTCATACGGTGTCACTAAATGAATGTTGTCATTAGACTTCTCTTCGTGTGAATAACAGGGAGTTTTGGCTCTCTTGAGAATATAATAACTTGCAGAGGGTCTTTTGGTGGACACATGGGAGTGGATGTTCACCTGTATTGCTCCCAGATGGTGCACTGCATTCCCTTCAGAGATTAAATTGCTTCCCGCTCTCACTGATTTTGGATAGGCTGTGAAAGCATATTTCTTTCAAACTGTTTAAATCAGGGATCCTTAACCTGTAGCTCATGGTACTGGGCTTCAGAAGATCCATAAACTTCCAGTTTCATCATTGCATTTTTGCTATGAAACAGCTCTTCCCATTAGGATGTTCTTCCTAATGTTTAGGTGAAATCTGTTTTCCTGCAGTTTGAATCCATTACTCTACTGCCTATTCCCTGGAGCAGCAGAAAACAAGCTGACTCCATCTTCCATATGATACCCTTTCAAATATTTAAACGTGGCTATCATTTCTCCTCGTGGTTATTCCCAGCTAGAGTGGACCCTTTCCATCAGTTGTTGGATGCATCCTGTCAGTTCATTGGGTCTACTCTAGTCAGGGCTGACTAGGTAATGAAACATTTTAATCATATTTAAAACAAATTGAAATGTGTAGCCTAGATCCCAAGCATTGTTTAATTTTAATGATGATTAAAATGGCTTCATTACTTAGTTTTTGGTGATGCTGCATCTGCCTGGAATGTGACACACTGCAGTAAAGTTTGCTTCGACCCGGGTTTAAGAAACCTGGGTCAGGCTGACTGTAGTCCGCACAGCATTAGAAAAAAACCCTGTGCTTTTGTGGCTGGGTGTCCAGATGTGGCCCCAGAACCTGCCGGGAGAACATCTGGACACCCTAACTTCCTCACCAAAACCTCCCAAAACCTCTTTTAAAAACATTGTATACAATTAGAACAATGGCTCAAAAATTGGGAAAATATTAATAAAAATGGAAGCAAACTTAACCAATTTGAACAAATAATACAGAATGGAAGGGTTGTAGAAGAGCATGAAAATTTGAGAGGAACAACTAGTAAAATATATAAGATAATAATTGAAATAAAGGAAGGAAACACAAAAAACAACACCCTTAAAGAGGTTTGGGAAGAAGATTTAGGGATAAAAATAAACGACACAGAGTGGCAACAATTATGGAGACAAAGACATTTAAAAATTTTATCAATACGGGTTAAAGAAAATTATTATAATTGCTGGAGAGCGTGCCAAGAACCAGGAACATATATACATATGTGGTGGCAATGTAAATATGTAAATAATTTTTGGGAGAAAGTATTTAGAGAAATAGAAGATATAATGAATATGAAAATTGAGAAAAGTCCTAGCATAGCTTTATTATCACTATATAATAATAAACAATTGAAAAAGGAGGGTAAAGAAGTGATAACAAACTTATTAACAATAGCAAGATTGCTCATAGCAAGGAACTGGAAAAAAGAAATAAATATACAAATAGAGGAGTGGTACAAGGAAGCATGGAAACTAGCAATAAGAGAGCCAGTTTGATAAGCTTACATGTATATTAAAAGTTAAAAAAGGTATATGGAAAAAAGTGATTTTGATGTTGTATGGGAAAAATTTGTTGTAAATGGTTTAAAAAATAAAGAAGAAGGTTACCGCCACAAGAAGAAATGAGATTTTGGACAGATGATATGTAAAATTTGTGGCTTGAAATGGGGGAGGGGAGCACAGTGGTGGGAAAAAAGGGGGGAAAATGCTTAAGCAGAATAATAAGATTATATGTTAAAGAGGTGATGAATAATATGTAACTGCTATAAACAAATGTATAACAAATGTAATAACTATGATAAAATAATAAAAAATATTTTAAAAAAAGAAACAAGGATTTTGATTTTTCTTCCTCGTTAGAAAAAATGGAGGAGTGCCTCAGAAGCTGCCTCGACGGCCTTCGTCTTCCCAGCCTACTTCATTGCAGCTTTCTTCATCCAGCCGGGAGAATGGGAGGCACCGTGTGGCCCACAAAGGGACGTGGAACTCCTGCCACCCTGCTTCGCCTGAGGAGCGGCAGCACAGCAGCCCTTCCATCCTTCGAAAGGCAGTAGTGGCTGTGCTCAGGTACAAGCTTCAGAATTTGAAATTCATACCACTGTTTTTATTACACTGGCAAACACACATTTTGGTGCCTCAAATGTTAAACCTATTTTTCGATATATCTCGACCTGCTGATTCCATAAATGGCACCAGATTTTCCCATTAGCTCTAAGTTTTGAGATACAGAACATATGGAATCTATCTGCTTGCCCATAGAAAACCACGATAAAATCATAGAGTTGGAAGAGACCTCATGGGCCATCCGGTCCAACCCCCTGCCAAGAAGCAGGAATATTGCATTCAAAGCACCCCTGACAGATGGCCATCCAGCCTCTGTTTAAAAGCTTCCAAAGAAGGAGCCTTCACTACACTCCAGGGCAGAGAGTTCCACTGCTGAACAGTTCTCACAGTTCAGGAACATATCTTCCACTGACACAGGGTCACATTGTAATTGCAAATAAACAATGGCAAGCGTACATTGTAATGACTACAGCATCTAGAACCCCTCAGCCAGTATGGCCACTGAAAGTTGCAGTTCAGAAAAATCAACTTCTATGTTATTGACCCCATTAAAAGATACAGGGATGTTGTTGAACTGCACATCACATCAGCCCTAGTCATCATAATCAGTGGAAAGGCTGATGATAATCCCAGTCCGTAAACAATTGGAGGTCTACACTATTCCCAGTCCACATCAACTTTTTCCTGTACAGATGGTCCCTGGGTGTGTTGAACTACAGTTGCCATGCTCTCTGGGAGGTGATGAGAGCTGTAGCCAAACATATCTGAAGTACATCAGAGCAGTATACAGAAGAGGTAGGCAGCTGAATAGCTTCCCTTTTCTCCAAAACCCGCATTACTGATGTTTTAAAAAATTCTGCATTAAAATTCTCACTTAAATATAGATGTGTTTTTCCAGATGTACTTTCTTCCAAAATAGATCTCTGATACAATTTTAATTCTCTTCTGTTGAGCCAAGCATTGCACTGAAATATTTTGGAAGGGTAGAAGCTGGTGGGTTAATTAAATCTCCATCTGTTGGTTCTAATTTTATTAGGATTCAAAAGGATGTAATGCCTCAAGCATTTGTTCTGAGGTCGGGATTCTGAGGGGGTTTGAAAAGTAGCTTTTTGGAGTTCTAACTAAATGTGCTGTCATTGGAGTGGTGACCATTTAGGATCCTTGTCCCAGAGAAATGCATACATTTTTAGGGTCAAAATGTTTCTCCTTCTTATCTTTATGACTTTGTCAACAAATGGCAGCTTTTCAGATGAGACTGTGTGCTACTCTTCCTTAGCTCTGTGGATGAAGCTTGATGCCCTTCTCTGTGTCTATTGCTTGATATGTTTCTTGCTATCAACTAGCAATGGAGTTGAAAATAAGCCTTATTGTCATTATCTCTTTGTAATTACTTCTTGATAGGGACAAATTAGATATGCTTGCCTCTTGCTATTATGTTTTAGTTACTGGATGATCTTTTCCTTGATGATTAGGGTAGTGAATGTTGCAATAATTATGGGGCTAAGACCATGTATGTGTATATTAAGGAAGTATCAAGAATAAATAAAAAGTTCAGGATTCATTCCTTTAAGGGACTTTGTTGCAAGTGTTATGAGGCAAAAATATGGTTGCAATGAGAAGACACTCCTTAGAATGGTATTTCAGTGTGATTAATTTTCAAGCCACAGTGGTGGGGTTTTTTGTGTGTCAGGAGTGACTTGAGAAACTGCAATTCGCTTCTGGTGTGAGAGAATTGGCTGTCTGCAAGGATGTTGTCCAGGTGATGCCCAGATGTTTTTGATGTCTTGCTATCTTTGTGGGAGGCTTCTCTCATGTCCCCGCATGGGAAGCTGGAGCTGACAGAGAGAGCTCATCTGCTCTCTCCCCGAATTCAAACCTCTGATCTTCAGTCCTTGCGCCACTGGGACCAGTGGTAAAAACTCTAGATCTTATTTACTTTTACAGTGGTCTGTCCTCATTTCACCTCCCCTCTTCTTTCGAAGTTTGGAAAAGTTACCCTAGAACAATGGTTCCTATCTTGTGGTCCGTGGACCGCCGGTGGTTCGCAAGAACTAAAATATGGTCCGTGGCCTACATCATTGCAACGAGAGTGACTGGTCTCACGAAACCCTCTTATAGTGCTGAGGCCTATTAAATATGGTTTTCTGTGGGCGAGCAGATGGTGACTACTGGATGGCATATGTTTTCTATCAGAAACTAGTGCTGATGTGGTCCATCCAATGCAATTTTCTGAATCAGCACCCCAAATAATCAACCAAATCTAAAGTTGACCAAAACTGATTCATAACCCTTTTGGTACTAATGTTGGAGAGTGGTCCCTGGTGAACTGGTTCCTGGTCAAAGTGGTCCCTGGTCAAAGTGGTCCCGATTAAGTGGTCCCTGGTTAAAAAAAGGCTGGGAATCAGTGTCCTAGAAATTGCCTGGAGTTTTCTATGCCAATATGCCAGCACAGATAGGTAGGCAGATCTCTGCTTTCAGGGAGCTTCAGACCTAAATAAAACCATGGGGAAAATTGTGGAAGGAAGGCACAAGCAGTGGTTCAGTATGGAAATTGGGCCAAGCTTTTTGGGAGTTATAGCTCATCATGTTGGAAAGAGGTTGGAGGAGGCAGGAGTACATGATTAGATTGCTGGTGTTGCTATTCTGTATTTTTATGCAGGGTTTCTAACTTACCTCAAGCACCATTTTGAAACATTTAACTTTACAAAAATAAAAGTTATTCTCCACACTTGAGGGGACTGACAGCTTTATGGGGAACAGCTCCATACTTAAATGTTGTACGGAAGCTTGGTTTCCTAATGAGAATTAAAGGGGAGAGCCGAACGTTTTAACTACCATTTTGTGACTTCAGACATCTCTCCCCTTTTTTTACAACCCTCCAATTATCATTTTGTAGTGAAGTTCTGCACAGCATGGTGAACACACTTGAACTCCTCCTCAGCATTTAATTTAAGATGGAAGCTAATAATGTTCTTTTGCAAGAAGATGTGGAGTTATATTTTATTTATATATATATTCAAGACATTCTCATCCTACCTTCCCAGCATATGACATGGCTCATAATACTTAGAAAACTATAAAAAGGTGGCTGGAATTTGGTATAGAACTCACGTCTTTGTAAGTAGATGCAGATTAGATATAGGGACCAGACATTGACCATAGAATCACACTGGAGAACCTAGAGATTTCTAAGGAGATGATTTGAATCAAATCTGTAAACAATCACATCTGGACAGAAGACAGGAGCAGAATTCAAAATAATCTTAACAGATTAGAGAGATAGGCCAAAACTAGCAAAGTGATGTTCAACAGAGACAAATGCAAGATACTCCACTTAGGCAGAAAAAAATGAAATGCAACGATACAGAATGGGGGATGATGCCTAGCTCGACAGCAGATCTTGGAGTCCTCATGGACAGGAAGGTGGACATGGACCAACAATGTCATGTCTCAGCTAAAAGGCCAATGGGATTTTGGCCTGCAGAAATAGGAGTCTAGTGTCTAGATCCAGGGAAGTCATGCTACCCCTCTATTCTTCTTGGTCAAACCACACCTGGAATACTGTGTCCAGTTCTGGGCACCGCAGTTGAATGGAGATGTTGGCAAGCTGAAACGTGTCCAGAGGAGGGTGACTAAAATGATCAAGGGTCTAGAGAACAAGCCCTATGCGGAATGGCTTAAAGGGCTGGCCATGTTTAGCCTGCAGAAGAGAAGGCTGAGAGGAGATATGATAGCCATATAGGAAATATGTGAGCGAGTCATAGAGAAGAGGGAGCAGGCTTGTTTTCTGCTGCCCTGGAGACTAAGACGCCGAACAATGGCTTCAAACTACAGGAAAGGATATTCCATCTGAACATGAGGAAGAATTTTCTGACTGTGAGAGCTGTTCAGCAGTGGAACTCTCTGCCTCGGAGTGTGGTGGAGGCTCCTTCTTTGGAGGCTTTTAAACAGAGGCTGGATGGCCATCTGTTGGCTTAAGCGGCTGAGGGGGGAAAGGAAAGGGCCTGGGGCTGTTAGGAATGGTGAGAGTTGAAGTCCAAAATAGGAGGGCCGAAGATGGCTTGTGCCTGGGTTAGACTAATATTCTCCTATTTCCCACCCTATCACTGGAACGGGAAATTTCTCTTGGTGAACTTCTGGCTTTCTTGAACAGCATTGGAGTCTTGCCTTCTTACAAAGTGACAAGAGTTATAGCAGGGAGCGGCTATTGCAATTTTAACCTGACCAGTGAATGGCATAATAGGCCGTGTTGATCTATGAGGAGTGTCTTATTTTTAATGAGTGCCGGTCAAGAAGTTAAGCGTTGGAGGACCGCTACACAGCTGCCTCTGTTTTCTCCTAATGTAGTGCATTTGCAGTTCAGCTGCAACTGATGGATGCTGTGTGTGCTCCTGGGGTCAATAGGATCACATTGTTTACACAGGAGTTTTTGTCTCAGGGCCAACACACACACACACATGCCTGCAAGAGGTTCTAGTACGTCCTCCTTTTTGCTAGTACAGTGGTTTTCAATCTTCCTAATGTAGCGACCCCTTAATATAGTTCCTCATGTTGTGACCCACAACCATGAAATTATTTTTGTTGCTACTTCATAACTGTAATATTGCTACTGTTATGAATCGTAATGTAAATATCTGATATGCAGGATGTATTTCCATTCACTGCACCAAATTTGGCACAAATACATGATACGCCCAAATTTGAATACTGGTGGGGTTGGAGGAATTGATTTTGTCATTTGGGAGTTGTAGTTGCTGGGATTTATAGTTCACCTACAATCAAAGAGCATTCTGAACTCCATCAACAATGGAATTGAATCAAACTTGGAACACAGAACTCCCATGACTAACAGAAAATACTGGAAGGGTTTGGTGGGCATTGACCTTGAATTTTGGAGTTGTAGTTCACTTATATCCTGAAAGCACCGTGGGCTCAAAACAATGATGTATCTGGACCAAGCTGGCACGAATACTCAATATGCTCAAATGTGGACACTGGTAGAG